TGCGCAACCCACGGTTGACTCTGATTGGGATGGTGGTAAAGGACAATTGATCCTGCGCTAGTGCCGCGACGAACTCAATGATCTACTGGAGGAGAGCTGCCACAGAGTTCAGCTATTTCGAGTAAAGAGCTGGGTGATAAACTCTGATTGGTAGCGTGCTACCATTTGAGGGTAAAGCCTTCCATGACAAGTTTAAACCTTTATGAATGACGGATTCGGGATTTACAGAATATTAAAAGCCACATCAACAGAATAGTATATAACAATGGAGCTATTGGAGCACATTAATGACATCTCAGGATCACGTTAAAATATCAGTAGTACAATGGTTCCATGATGGTTGATAAAAAGAAATGGTTACAAGTGAACGCTGTCGATTTACAAGCTGGATTTACAGCTCTGTTAGCGTAAGGGCGTGATCGCGAAGAAATTCGGAAATGGAACGAGCATGGATGGGGAGTGGTTTTCGATGACTGATCAGTTATTGACGCAAGTGGTTGGCACGTACATCATCGAAAGTTTCCGATCGTCACCGTCCAGGCAGACAGTGCGTACGAGGGCTGCGGTCACGTCGTAGGGGTCGCAGTTCGACGACGGTCGCCGGTCTTCGAAGTAGCCCTGGAATGTTCGAGCTGGTAGACTAGGTGGAGAGAGAAAGAGAAAAACCGTCTGATCAAGACTTCTGGCAGTGTGGCAATTCTGTTGTGACTGATTCCATGACAATGGGCCAAAATTGCATGAAGTTCAGGAGTCAGAAATCTGAGGTTGTCCCAGAGACAGAGATTTACCACAAAACGAGAATATACTTACATAGCCGTCGTCATCTGTCTGACGAGGAATTCGAATCGAACTGGCTCTCGAAGCGACGCCATGAGAGAATTGATCAATTTTGGCGGTCTCGTGAAGGCCCGTAAGACGACGCTCGTTGTCCTGAACAGCTCAGACCTGCATTATACGAATACGCCTGAGGTTGATGCCAGTACTCGCGACCGTTCAGGTTTCAAAAACTAGTATCACTTCAGTCTCGGATTAGTAGTTTGTGTTGCCACTTGGAGCCATGGTGATCGGTAAAGACGCAGGCCGCGCTCTGGTGCTCAGACCTGCCTCAAGCAGCGAAACGAAGCTTGGATAATATTCACGAACCTTTCCTCCTTTGGGATCGTAGTAGGCGATGTGCTGAGGATGGACAAGTGACAATTTGTTGATCGCCGTCATGATGTCACTGGAAAGATTCCACTGATCGATCGTCGCCAGAAAGATGTCTGACAAATGCTTGGTGCCGCAAAAACTCACTTGATACCTCCCTGCTTTCTCATGGAAGCAGTGGAGAAGTTGGTGTGGCATCCTGCTCCGTTCCAATCTCCTGAAATCTCTCGAAGGCTATGGAAAGAGTGGGTCTGGTCTTGAAGCTTCAAATGGATAAGTTTGGGCATGAGTTTCTTCACCCACAAAAAATTTCTACTAGATACGCTAAATTGCTGCTCAAGTGAGACATAGACAACGACGTCCCTGTGGGAGCTGAAGGTTGAGTCACCACGGATGTTGAGAATTCGATGATTTCCACTGATTGCAGGAATCAGCGAGCGGCTGTACAACGAGGTGGTGGGAGGGCAAAGCATGCGAGAATTCCGCAATCATTTCAACAGGGGTGGCCCGGCCCTGATGCGGTTCTTGTGATCCCTGTTTGTCGGCAACACCCAACGACCTCCTATACATCTGCGCTTGAGTGATCCCCACCTGTGCATGATGGTGTAAAACTAAGCTGCACTGAACACCATTTTTGGCTGAGCGCAAAATAACCAGGCCGTGCGCTATGCGCTGCGAGACAGCTGGGGACTTCGGAGTCGAGTCAAAACGCGCTAGCTAGCTAGACTAGCTTAGCCGTCCTTTGAAAAACTATACACTTCAATTTCCGAGCCGTTTCTCCGGCAACCATACTGTGGATCACAAACCACTCACCTTTGATTGGTTTCGGGTCTAACGAGGCGACCACACCAAACTCTTCGGCCACCCTATGAAGAAGGAATCGCGCCATCCACAGCTGGTCTCCCATCGCTATTCCTTCGACTGGACCCACTTGAAATTCCCACTGAAAGCATAGATGGATACCTTCGTACAATGCAGAGAATGGACGGTCACATCTCAACAGGAGTAGGACATATCCCTTTGTAAGCGCTAGAGATGCGATTTGAGTAGATAAGGTGGATTTAAATTCGATGGAATATCGAAACGGCATGCTCACAGCGCCGAGCGACCCCTAACCAATATAACCCTAATCAATATGTATAATCTCCTCTGCATGGGCGTGAAGGGGGTATGATGACTGCTGAACGGCAAATTTTATATAACCACCTTTCGTTTTGTAGTTGTCTCCTCACTGTCCCCATCTATGCCCCTTCCTCCCCTTCTTCTTTCACCAAGCAAATCGTCTGGTCAAGATGTCCTCGACCCTTATTTACCTGGTCACCAGATTCGTTGGACGCATCGCAGCAACAGTGCAGCGCCAGCTCTAGCAAATGATATAGGGGCGTAAAAGGAACATCGATGGTACGTGGTTACAAATTGATAAAGGCTGATAAGGGTGGTACTGCTACCCAGTTCGTAACGAATTTGATGTTGATCGAAAAGTGATGGGGCTTACACAAACCATTTGAAGTTTGACGGGGATACAGAAGGTGAGTGAGAAAATGCTGCAACACCTGACAAAGGCTAATGGGGGGAGAAGAGGTCGAAAAGTAAGACAGAAAGGAATTTGTGAAAAATTCATTCACCGCTATCAGCTGCATACTGCACTCTGTCACCCACTGCTAATGTTCCTGTGTGACCCCCTATCGGCCAAATGGCCCAAATACGCTAACTGGCAAAGCATCACATATTCCCATTTAGGTGCTAAAGTATTGAACATTTTTCGGGAACTGAACTATATGGATTTCCTGAAAGACAGGCAAATGGGATGCCTGTGAGATATGATGAGCGTGTGAAATAAGGGTTTTACTATTAACACTGCAGTTATCTCTCTGTCTGAGTGGCGTGATGTGGCGATCGTCGGGAATGATGTGGTGATCGTCGCTTTTGATAGAAGTCACGTGGATAAGTTGTCTCCATGCTTTGGTGACACTTCTATCAAGTGCGATGGTCGCCGCGCGATTTTCGGCACACACGCCCACTCAGACGGTGAGAAATGGACTGTAAGATGTCTGCATTACTTGATGTATTCATTAGGTTGGTGGCAGCGCTGATCCTTGCTTGTGAGTTCCCACGCCTCCACTGTCACGTCAAACCGACGTCACCCACACGCGAAGGCGTCCGCGCCGCTGAGGCGTAGCAGCCGGCGTTGCTCGTTGTAGCGAGTAGAGAAGAATTGGTGTACTATGCCACACATACTTGCAGAGGATCGCTCTCATGGCTACTGACTGTAAGTCGTGCGAGAGCAAGTACACAGCACTTTAATACTGGTCAGGGGTGATGAGTCCTGGCTTCTTCTAGCACGCTTACTGTAGTCAATGACGCGAGCCATGTCTCATTCGCATCGAAACGGACCAGACTCGCATTAAAGTGACCACTCACCTGTCCTGGCATAACCTCTGCATTGGTGCCGGAAATGCTGATGCCGGCGTATAAGCAGGCACGGTAATGCGCCTCGACTATATCTCGACCGTACACCTTGTTCGCTCCGACGCCACAATAGTAAGGCCCTGTAACGATAATGTATGTACTGCATTCGACCGCACAACACTTTTCTATTTTAGGGAGAATACTATCAATACTATCACAACGAGAAAGCCTTCCAGGTGCCATCGATGAAGGTAGAGCCTTATTCGCTTGGAGTTCTAGTATGACCCATGTATGCCACAACAGTCGGTGAGAACGCCCCTTTGGAAGCTTGGTTAGCTTTGTCAGCTCCATTGTTTAGTAAGAAGAATGCAAGATAGCTTTCAATTAATTTGCACGGTGCTGCTGGCTGTATAATGGATTTTGTGTTCGAATATTATGCCATTAAAGGAGCAGCCAGCGAAAGTGATGGCACATGGGTCATCTAGCAGGAATTTGATGAAAATTCGAGGAAGATAGAGTTTTAATGCCACATTACCGGTCACAAAATGTCCACGTTCAACGATTGAAGTCGATGGTAACGCCTAACATTTTCGAGGAAAAAAATCCTTCAAAAGGTGCAAAACTACTCCGCGCGCGGAACTCTCTTACGCACTAGGAGCTTCCTGTGTTCCGGATTCCTTTCGCATCAGTCAAAAACGGATCCAAGTGGTGACGCTCAACAGAAACTGCGGACGCTCCAACCAGGGTCAACCCTACGTTGTTACGAGTAACAACGGGGGGGTCGTACCTGGTTGAGTTTGTAGGAGGGGGGGGTCGTACCCGCTTCAGTCGCTCGAAATCACATGTGAGTTTGAGCCCCCCCCCCTAGAAAATGAAGCAGTAGGAATATAAATAAAACTGGGTAGGGGTAAAATAAGTAGGGGTGAAATGGTGAAAATATAGAGAATTTTCGAAATTTTTACTGTTTTAGAGTAACTATATACACCCCGCTCGACGGCATTCTTGGAGGGAAAAGTGGGAATAGGGGGTCGTATCAACTCCACCTTGGTAGTTGGAGAAGGATGTCGTAGAATTTTTTTTTAAAGTAGTCATCAACGCATGTGTGGTGTTTATAGAACGGCAATCATAAAGGACCACACACAAGATGCAAGAATTTATCGGAACCGGTCCGAATCAAAAGTAATAATCTGAACGAATCCATGTACTCAGACTTATTCTTTGAATTCGTAATTTCATATTCTGATAAGTCCGCGTGCGAGAGTGAACAAAACAAAACACTTTCATGCTAAGCGACAGGATCGAAGTAAGGGCAATGAAAGTTCAGTGTGGAGCTTCAACAATTATGTGAGAAGGTATGAAAATGGTAATTATAACTACTACGTTGTGCATATGACGAAAGGACGTATGACATTCACCTCACTTTTGAGCCACCAGGTTGGGGCAAGTTAGTTTAGGTGTTTAGGGGGCTGGTCTGTAGCCCGCTACATGCATCGTTGCCTAGTGTATTGATGCGTGGTCAAGATAATCGAGTTGTAAGCCCGTTTTTGCATTCAGTGTATCTTGTAAATTGTTGCAGAATAAAGACCTTAGGGCCAGTAAATTTAGTTAACGTAGTAATTAAAGAATATTTCACGTTACGGCAGCATTTAAGGAGTTTTTTTGCAGACATTAAAAAAGCTATGCGTCATGTGTTCAAAAGGAAAGATGCAGGAGTTTTGAAGGTGCGGCTATTTTGCGTTTTGTGAAATGCCTACTAGATTGTCTGAAATTCTTGGATTGTCGTTTTGTGTTCGTCTACAGATTGCCCAATAGGTTTTATATCAAGGGTGTGGTTAGTGTAAGATGGAGAAACGATGCCTCTACTATATGGGAAGCACTTCTTCTAGGTTCAGCAAATGCGACTGTTCATGCTAGTGGCTCAACCCTTCTAATGCAAGGAAAGATTATTACTGGGCATTCCGGTCATTCTCCTGATCCTGAATTTGACGACCTCCCTCTTGGAAAAGGTGTCTCGGTGCGACCCTACCACCACCATCATCAGCTTTCCGGAAGCCTCCCCATACGACCGCCCATCTTACCGGCAATCCACTGATTTGTCTATTTCGCGCTTCTTTCCTAGAGACTGGCTAAAATCATCAAAAAGTCCGTCAAACGCGACTTCCCTCTCCCGCCACCCACGACTCCTTACACTTCCAAAATGCTCCCCCCTCCTAGAAAAGCTTGGACACGACCCCCTTCTTGAGAACTGCGCAACGAACGGGTGACCTCACTTATTACGCACAAGCAGTCACTCTTTATTACGTAATGAGTAGTGATAGTCGAGAAAAGGCTTAACTTGTTATTGTTTTTCGAGATGTGCATTAATTTCACAGCTTTGACTTTACAGAAGTCGTTCCTCGTCACCCAAGTCCATCCGCAGAATTATTTAAAAGGATGCAGAACACTAACCTTGTGGTCCCGGGAACCCATTCTTAGGCCACCCGAATGGATGTCCGTCGACGTCCAAAAGGGTGTACTCCTGCTCCATACCGAACCATGGATGCTGATCTTTTGCTTTTTCCATTACTTCCAGACATCGGGAACGATTATTTGTCGCTGAAACAGGTGGAAATTGATAGTCGAAGCTTCGATTAACGAACCTGTATCGAAACCGTAGTGTTACCTACAGGACGACGTTTTCATCCTCTAGTTTAGGTGGCCCGAATTCACGCGGCCGCACGAATTGCAGTGCTCGTTTAAAAACGATACAGCACCTTTAATGGCCGGTAAGCACTGAAAAATAGCCTACCTCACCCTCTGCGGCATCCCTAAAAAGCAGAGCGTAGAATATTTGCTCTTTTTATATACCGTATTCAATAGTTTAGTGACTGCAAAGTCTCTTAAAAGGCTGAATGCAGAGATCGAACTGATCTTTGGAAAGGAATCGTGTTCGTGTGAAAAAAAAATCACATGAAGAGATGTGGGAGGGAAAATTTGGTCTTTCGTGAAATACGAAATCGTTATCACTGTGGTGCAAAAATCCTAGCGTGCAGTTCAACAATCAGTTCATTTGATTTGCCCATTTCTCAGCCGTACATAAAACTCGAAATTTTACGATCAAATCGCCTTTGAGATGACAGAGCAGCTTCTGGCGATCTCTGTTCTATGTCTCCAAATGAATACTGTGTAAGAGGGAAAGATAAATTCACGCTCTAGGAATCTACTTCCAACCATAGTAGAAAAAAGCCATCGTATACCCGTCAAGATCCCTTTGAAACTATGGATAAGGACTCATCGTTGGGAGGAACCATCTACATACATACAAACCATCCAAATCCTCCCCTCAAAGAAAAACGCAAATATTTCATCTTTTCTAGGTCCGCTAACTGATCAGCGCTCAGTTGTACAAACAATGAAAAGCTGATTAAGGTGACGTATGCGGTCCGACTGAGGCGACGACGGAGCGAAGATCGCACTGGAGAAGAACTATCTCTTCCGAGAATCTGAGTGTGGGAGGCTCAGGGCGAACGTCATGTATCAATGACGCGTTTGGCTCTTGACAGCCAAGCCGAACGTTCGAAGTAAAAACCATGTATTCCTGTTTGGCTTTCAGAAAGGGTGGCGAAGCTATGTTTCGTAGATGACTACAGAATTCAGGGGGGGGAGGGGGATGGCGTAGGGATTCGAATTATTTTCAAGTAAAAACCTGCTCTGAGGCATGAAAGACATTTGGACATCCACCGTCGCTGTAACTCGGACGTGGAAAAACAGTCGTGAAAGACTTTATTTCGACCCGCGATCCCATCAAGGTCGCTACGACCCCGCATGTGATTACGCAAACAAAAGCAATCACTAATAAACGGCCGTCAACAACTTAGCAACAGGTCGCTTCGCAGCATTTAATGTTGAAAAGCAGAGTCCGGCGGTTGTGCGATACATGAGTTAGTCACCGCCAGCACGGCTCAGAGCAGGCAGTTCAAACACAATCGAGACCGATTTGCATCATGAAAGAACAAAAACAATATTGATAATGCTTTTTGAAATAGTTTGCAGAAAACAAGTGCTGGTTTATTCCCAAATTGGAGTCATAGGTAACTTTTAAGGAATAGCTTCCGGTAGCACATGGGTTTGACCACTGGTCAAGAGACGTTGTTAATCGTCTTGGGTTTTCTCGACAATTTCGTTGATCTCGTACCGAAACATGGGTTCCGTGGGAAAATCTTCTGATGTCGTCGATGTAGAAAGGCCCCATATAATTTTTGATAGAATAGAATGTGCTCTTCAATATGCAATTGAGCTCATTCGGTTTGGTTCTGGCAAAGTGTAATTAATTCTGTTTTGAATGTGAGTGAGAGTGACACTTTTTTTTGGCCCCCCTGTATATGTGGTTTGGGAGTTAGTACGTGCTGGCAAAAAAGATTGCTCGTAGCTTAGAGGGAGGGCAAGTTGGTTCCCGAAACGAATGCTTTCGCATCGTGTGTAGATCACAGGAGCTGGAGTTGAAGGCACGGATGCGAGGGAGCTGGCGAGACGTTGACGAATAATATTTGTGGTTGTTTTTTTTTTTCTTTTGATATGAAATAAAATAATGTGTGAAATTGAAATGGCGGATATTCGCTCAACCTAATACTTCAACAATTACTTATTTTGGACCAAACACGCTTTGCGCGGTAGAATATTTACATATTTGGCCTGATTTTAGCAGGTCAACAGAACTTGAGCTGGATCACCCGATTTTGGAATTTCTGCTGCCTGATTCATAAGCCTAAATGACATTCAGTTAAGAGCAGGTCCATGTTAGGTAACATCTTAGAATGTTTCGAAACGCTTTCAGGGCTTTGAAAGCTACGAATATGCCGAAACGTCAGGCTAAATAAATATTCTGCCACACAGAGCCTGTTTGGCACCGAAGATTAACGAGAAGGAGGAGCCTCCAAGCACAGGAGGCGCATACTTTCGCGACTTGCATGTGCGCGACAAGGTAGCTAACACATTCTCTTGACCGCTGCAACTGCTGCAACAGCTGCCGTCGTTATCAATCACGGTATGCCCGGCATTTGTACCCGTACGACTTGGTCTTCCGCGTTTTCCATCTCCCCGCAGCGTTGTGTCGCTCCGCCGTACCACGGCCAGTCTGTCTCACAAGGGAAATTTTGGTGTCTGCTTTTGTCTTTGCTCCCCATTAACGTTCCTCATTGCGTTTCTTGCCTAATTTTCACACAAAATAACACACCAATTCGATCCCGACTCATGCCTTTGAGTTGCTCCTCCCTATACAGTTCAATCTTCGAGACACACGAAAGAGTATGTCAATTACGTGCTTACCTGTCGGTTTTTTCTTATTGTCGAGCGTCTCGCAGAGGACGAGCTTGTTGGGTCCAAGACGGAACGGATCTGGAAACATGGCCACCGGCTTCAAGTAGACGTCCGAATCGGCTCCATGGGCTTGATCTGTAGACGAGCCGTCGAAATTCCATATCGGTAATTCTGAAAAAAATGTTATAGTTACCTTAATTGAGCTCATTGAGGGAAGTGGACAACACAGAGAAAGGGATCAGTGCTGTGCTGAGAAGCCACCGATTAATAACCTTTGAATCACCGAAGTGGTCGAGCAAAGGCCACCTGATAGGGGAGCAAAGAACGAGCGATGTTCTATCGGTAATGTGCAAAGGGGGCGAGTAACAAATCGGAGATCGTGGATGATTTGGAAATACGAAAATTTCCAGAAATAACCGTTCTTTGGAGAAAAAAGCGGTTTGAAGTTGCACCACATCGCTCGCTTCAAATGGTCAAAAAGGAGCATTCCACTGGCTGGAAAAAGGTGGATTCCAGCAGAATTTCTCCTCTAGGTCAGGCTAGATGAAGTTCTCAAAAAAGTACAAACTCACTGAATTTCGGAGATAATTGTGAAATTCAACAACACGAAATATGGGCAGCTATTCGTTCTTCCGTTCGAAGGAAATAATTCATTCTCAAGCAAAAAATGACATAAATAGCAAAAAATAAATTTAAAAATAATAAAAAATAGATGTAAGAACTGGAGCATATGAATCAGGAGCCCGCGAGTGAAATATGGAGACAGAGAATACTGTCTGAGTATGAACCGTCAGACATTCCAAAATCTCTGGTGCCCAAAATTAGTAGTTCCGCGAAAGGTCAAAATAGACCTATTTCGAATTACTAATTTAACGGTGATCGGCCAGATGCATTTGCTTGAGTGACGTTTTGTTTCGAATCTCTTCTATTTCTTGAAAGACCCTCTCAAACCATTCAATCATTGTTACTGACCGAGTGATAAATTCATACGGGATCATCGTTTCCGCGGGTTCAAATTTCACTTTGGAAGGGGAGAGGCTAGTGTTTACTTTTCCGAAGCGGTGAAAGGGTGACAGCGGTTCTTCTGGAACTCGGCTGATCAGCCATTTTATTACTTCTTTGGAGAAAGCTGTGTTCGAAGGCGTTGCAGAAAATAAACGCTCAAAAGTTCTCACGAAAACAACACTGTATTTCCACAAAACATGCAGATTAACTTACGATCGGTAGAAGTAGGCTCGAAGTCAAGTGTGCGAGTTTTTGCGCGCAGATTCTCGCCAGTGCCGTCGATCCAGATGTACTTGGCCTGGACTTTGCCCTTCTGATCAAGCCGGAAAAAACGCTCCACAGACGTTTTGTCAGTGGCGAATTGAGTTCGAAGGTTTGCCATTGCTGAAAAGAGACGTTCGGGACAGATGAAATGGCTTGACACAATGGCATGCGAACAACAGTGGCACACAACAAACCAGTCATTTCCCAGAAACTGTGGAATCAATCGTGATAGTTGGGGACTATGGCGACCAAACACGAGAAGGCGGGAATTTGTCGGGCAGCTTATCGGTGGGGTGCGTCCACCAGCAAGAAGCGCACTTTAGCCCCAGTCTATGAATCTATCTATTCAGCGGCGGGAGAGGGAGAGGGAGTGGGAGGGTGGTGGATTATGCAAGAACGTCACTGGGATCTACAGGAAGGATTCCCAGGACTGGTCATGAGAGTAGAAAAGAACGGCGCGGGACTTAGTCCACACACTGGTGCTAAATGATCAAAATGTCAACATTCTGGAATTGGGAAGGATAACACGTTCAACGGAAGGGTAACTAAGCCATAAAATAAAAACTTCACAATAAGGACTCATCAAAAAGTTAGGGCAAGTATATGTGATGGGCAATCGTAATGGAGACGCCTTCCCGTTGTATCGGTCGACAGGCCACCGCGACACTGACCAAAAATCAGAACCGACCATCAACTCAAGATAGACCACACTCGATCACGGTCAAACATCACCAAAAGAAAAACTCGCAAGAGAGAAGAGAGGTAAAAACACGTGTGAAAACGAAGACAGGGCAACAAAGCGAGAGGTCCAAAGCTGAAGAAGTGGCGAGAACCTAGGAAAGTCTCCTTTATTACTAAACTTATAAATTGCTCATTTTCAGTTTTCTGTGGAGTTTCTTGCAGCTGTTTTACTGTGACGTCGATCACGTGAGTTGTCCTTAAGAAACCACAAAACAAAGCGACTCCGTTTTCCAGAGATCACAGACAGCCGATTCTGGTCAGTGACACGAGGATCTCTGTCGATTTTCCTTCTTCGAGGGTTATGTCTTCTCACACCACAACCCCGGACCAACCACAGCCCCCACAACACGCCACCCCACAAACAGACGACACCAACCACAGAACACAGTCTGTCATTTTTCCGCAACCCGAAACTCATTCACTCTGCATGCGAAAGAACAGTTCGAAAATGCGCCAGCACTCGTACCTCCTCGTCTGCCCTTGTTACTCGCCTGAAGCTCTAATTTTACGCTTGCATTCATATTGTAACATTGAAGACACATAGCTGAGCCGCAGTCTTGTTCATAGTGAGCAGGTATCTCACACAGTGCATACTGGAAAAGATTAACGACAGTGCCCCGCACAGGGATAAATGAATCAGCTCCAACTGGTTACACTCTGCTCACTATCTGATCTTCTTGAGGGGTTTCTGACACGATGTCGAAACCAAAAACCACAGCCCAAAGACTCCCTCGACCCGAAGCCGCGCTTGGTGGAATGTAAGATAACGTACAACAACGACTTGACACAACACCCACCCTATATTCAGAGCCCGCCTCGCAGCACAGATCCACCGCACTTACAGCCAAAACAACATCCGAAAAAAGAACTTGGCGCCCCCATTAAGTAAAGTATCCACAACCAACCTCGTGAGCAAAAAACAAAAACATACATACCATAAAACTCTGCTCAGTGTTCCTATGCTATCAGGTAATACGTACTAACTTCGGAAGGTGGAAATAAAAACACAGGTATCCCTTTCACGCTAACATGGTCGACGGGGGCGCCGGATAAATACGGCAATGCAAACTGCTTGAGATGGTAACTCGCGAAGAATGAAATCGATTAGTGTCTTTGTTGGACGTCCACCACAAGTAGGTGTAGAGGACACGGAGGTCGAGTGAACAACTTGGCGCAACGAGCCGAATCCTGTCCACTTCCCACCGAGCCTTTTGCAGTAGTTCGTCACTTCTATTTCCATCTGATGAATCCGACTACACTTCATGACTGTCCACTACCAGCGGAGATATGTACAGTCAGCAGTGACGGCGCTTATTTGTCTGACATTCGTTTACTCTTCAGCTTCTCTGATAAGTCTCCCCAGCGCTTGTACACATTTTCTTAGATAAGAGCAACACCAAAGGAGGAGCCTTTAAGCTCTTTGTTTATTTGTTTATTTTCTTACAGTGGTTCAGTTACATTGGGAACACGGTGTTCCTAAGCCTCCATGTTGGGACTGAGACAGCTGCACAAACCAGGAAAGCTCTTCTGGAAGGAAGTGCATATCCTATCCATCCATTAATCACGTAAGGCATTGAACTCTTTTGAAGGGATTGACAATCGATTGATGGGATCTCGTGAACCCATTTGACCTCCATCAATAAGTCGTGCGACCAGTGGCCGCCGCAAAGCCCACAAGAGCCACAACTAAATCGACATCACCTACTTTGGAAAGCGACTTGCAAAATACAGAATGGTGCAAAGCGGCGGAGAACACTCGTTGTAAAACTGGCAAAGTAAATCGTCGATTTGACCCTTTTGTGGTAGTGGTCGAGTCGCTCGGTAAACATCTAGCCTCTACAGGTTTTCACGTTGTCAAGGCGAAGATGTTCATCTGCTACAAAGCTGACTGATTCGTTGTTGTAACCTTATCCCGACCTATGGGTGTCAGCTGTCCACTGAACTGCGATCCACTACTCTAAAGGTGACCCGACGTGATCACATAGAGCACCTCATGAATCCCCATATACCCGCATTGTAGGGCATAAAAGTGCAAAGATAAAGAGAAACAAATAGTTGATATGATTTGTGTAGCAATGTGTAAGAACCATTGTTAAGATGTAACATTTGATGAATCTCATGAAGCAGCTCCAACCTTGGCCAAATTCGAACATCTCAGGGGAGAAATATTCCTGCTGAATTCGAATTTCGTTGAAAACTCGGACTAATGTTCCAGCAGAAATCAGATGTCGAAGTAAATTAAGCTGAACATACAACTACGCCTACTTTTGTGAAATGGTTCAAGGAAATCGTTTTAGCTAAAGAAGTGATGGCGAAAAGGGTAAAAATTATTTATGAGGGCCAGCAAGAACCCGCACATCATGAAGAGTAATTCATCTTACACATAAATACGGCAACAGAAAGGATGGAAATGGGAGGAGTCATTAGGGGAAGGGCACAGCTACGCACTGGGTGTTGTTTGTCGCAACTCTGTCCCGCCCTATCAACAATCGGGTGGGACTAGGCGGCCACCCCAAACATCGGCAAACGTAGGCACCATATTTGGCACACTTGCACATTTTGCAGTGTAAACGTGTTTTGGTAACTCAAGCTCAAGAGTTATAGACTGCAGCGGAATTTAGACAGACTCACGAAATCGCTTTCTGGTATTTCACAAGAATGCTGGGTTGTGAACAAAACTTTCGCCCCAGACGGGATTCGAACCCGCACCCCTCGTTTTCCGGACGGTGTGAACAAAAGCTTGTTGTTTGAAAAGATTTTTTAAAGAAAAGAAAAAACAAATGAAAAGTTTGAAAAGAAACTGGCTGTTTAGAGTGAAAAATACAGAAAGCACAACAAGGAGGTTGTGGTGCTTTCTGGTATTTTTCACTCTAAACAGCCTCTGTAGTTTCTTCCAGGCTAACATTCAGTTCACATCCTTGAATTAAACCCAACAGAACATAACTACATTTTGGCATAGACGCGAATATAGCATTTTTCGGAACCAGGCTTTGTTAAAAAGTGTTACATTTCCTTCTCAGATGAATTGGACTGTATTCATGCTTAGCTTCAATTTGCTCTACATCTTACTGATGCTAAGTGAAGCTAGCAATATGCTGCTGATCTAACATCGGAACCCCGTCAAAGATAGACCACACTGAAGCACTGGAGAGTACCACAGGAAAAAATCGCTAGCAAATCGTATCGGGTGACGTACAACCAACAGAAGATTCCTGTAGAGAAGTCATTATCGCTGAATGTTTATTGCTTTTTATGATGTAATTTTCTATGCGCCTTCTGAAGCATTGACGTGATCAGAGGAGGCGATGGGAACATTCTGAAACATCTACATATATACAGACTTCGGAATCGGCACTAGGGAATTCGACAAAGGACAAAGGAACAAATGAGATCATAGCAGCAGAGATCGATGATCAGAAAGCGACGAAGATGCGAGTGGACATTGATCGGCTATTCTCCGGTCGACTCGGTCTCCAGGCGGGTTCGCAGCGAGACGACCAGCTGTCGCAGTTCGTCGATCGCCTTCGCCTGCAAAGCAACTTCCGTGTCACTTATCACTGTTCTGTTATTCAGTTTTTCATTCTCACTGCCATGAATGAATGCCATTTAAGAATGGATCAAAGTATTCATCGACGCTATACAAGTAGGGTGGGCACGCCGCATTTTTTGAACAGAAATGTATGTAAGTGGGACTGCTGCCCGCTACTATACTGTCACGAGAATCGGGGAATTCGTGAGCCAGGGGGAGTGTAGCCAATCTAGGGGGGTGGGGGTGAGGGCAGTCACTTGACATGCGTGAAAAGCTGGGCGTGCCCACCCCACTTGTATAGCGCCTGTTCATCTACTTCTACTATCTACCTGTTCATCTACTACTTCAACAGCGAAACAAATATCATAATATAAGCAGAAGATATAGAGCTCAGGGTCAATTGTCCGTTGGACCAAGTCAAATGTGGGAGGGTCGTATTTAGCCGTCGGGAGAGGGGGATCGTATTCGCAGATATCAACGTCTCAATGCGTGGAAGTACAAAATGTAGCATGGATGCGATAAGTCCTAGGCGCAGGCTCACAGCATTAAACGATTAGAATCAAGACGTTGTTCTCGCGACAGTAGGTGAGGGGTATAACTTTCGAGTGCTTCTCCAACTATTGAGCACAAACGAGTGCATGGCGCACATCAGAGCAGAAAGTGTCCATATTCCTGTTCACGTACACAAATATAATTCTAGAGGTGAACCAATGCCTTCAAACTGGACCTAAGTTAGTAAAAGAGTGACCACTTGGGTAGATTGACTGCTAAAGGCTTACAAGAAAAGTTTGGAAAAAATATTTGCCTGTCGGCAACTTCCTGAAAAGGGTTTAGTATCTGTTATGAAG